GTAAGAATGGATAGAAGAATACAACCCCTGTGATGCTTACGGGAGAGCTTATGTAATGAACTTCAATTAGTCCACGTATAGGCTGTGTTCTCAGAAAGGACTCAAGAAACGTTGGGGCTGTACACTAATGCATGTGTGCTCAGACTCTCTAGATACATGCTAAATAAACAGTCGACACAGGAGGCATCTGCTGTGACTGATACATTTGGTTTAATGATCCTCCTAGTAAAGAGCTGGGGAAATGTAATCATAGGTTCAAGTTCTCCTTCAGGAAAGAAAAGGTCTTCTGAATCAAAAGCTAACATTGCGTTATAACCCACTGCAATGTGGTCACGGGCATGCCTTTTCTCTTTGTCCTCACAACGGTCATGCCAAAGACAGCAGTACAAACCAATGCACTAAAGCAGGTGCTGGGGGGAGTGTGCAGTGCAGAGTGGGGACCCAAAGCCCATCTCTAGGCAACTTGACATCCCCTTAGGAGACAGCCAGTCAGGGTGCAGTGTAGCAATGATGAAACATACAACTTTCCTCTAGTTCCTAAATGCTTCCTCCCCACCCCCCTCCTCCCCACCCACTATCATGATCCCAATTTTACCTTATCAATCTGGCTAGACCAGAGGATGTACACTGGTACAGACAGGAACTGGAAACACAGGGAATCCAGGACAGATGAGCCAGTCAGCACCAGTGGTGAGAGCAGTGATACTGGGAGAGGGGAGAGAGGGTGGGGTAGAGACAGGGAACTGATTATAAGGATCTACATATAACCTCCTCCCTGGGGGACAGACAACAGAAAAGTGGATGAAGGGAGACATAAGACAATACAAGATATGACAAAATAATAATTTATAAATTATCAAGGGTTCATGTGGGAGAGGGGCATGGGGAGGGGGAAAATTGAGGGGCTGATGCCAGGGGCTTACATGAAGAGTAAATGTTTTGAGAATGATGAGGGCACATTCATTGTGTGCTAGACACAGTGGATGTATGTATGGATTGTGATAAGATTGTATGAGTCCCCAATAAAATGATTTTTAAAAAAGCAGGTGCTGCAAAATTGTGCCTTGGTGTTACCAAGTAGTGTTCTCACACCCAGGAACGTTAGAGCGCTAGACCACAATCGATTAAATTTCATATCATGCCTTGTTTGATCAGCCCCACGTCTGTGAGACAGTCAGGATCAACTCTCCACTTTTCAGAAAGTGGGTGATGAGGATTTACAGCTCTCAGAGGGTACTGTCTTTAAAAATCATTCCATTCTCAAGTAGAAAACAAATGTTTTGAGAATGATGATGGCAACAAATGTACAAATGTGCTTGACACAATCCACGGATGGATGCATTGTGATAAGAGTTGTACAAGCCCGCAATAAAATGATTTAAAATAAATAAATAACTGAAACCGTAAAAATCACTTCATTCAGATAGCAATAAGAAAAATTGAATCCAAGTTCTCTCCTCCCAAGTTCTGTGCTCTTTCATTTTCTCTAGGCAAGAAATGCAGATTTGGGAATAGAGTATGAAACTAGAGCCCCCCCCACCCCAAGTAGAAAGAAAATGTTTTAGAAATGATGATGGTGACATATGTACAAATGTGCCTGATACAATTGATGTACAGATTGTTGTAAGACCTGTAAGAGCCCCCAATGAAATGATTTATTAAAATAAACAAAACAAACAAACAAAAAGAAACTGGATCTTCTCCACACACCAAAAAATAAGAATTCACTGCCATCAAGTGACAGCTGGCTCACAGTGGCCCTATAGGACAGAGTAGACCTGCCCTGTGAGTTTCTAAAACTTTAACTTTTTGTTTGTCTGTTTGCAGATCATTTTATTGGGGGCTCTTACAGCTCTTATAACGATCCATATATCATTTGTATCAAGCATATTTGTACACACGTTGCCATCACTTACTTTCTACTTGAGCCCTTGGTATCAACTCCTCTTTTTTCCCTCTTAAACCAACTGCTTTCTCCCTTCCCCCAAGGTTTCTTCCCCACTCCTCTCCCCACCTTCCCCCTCCCTCCTGCTAATTCTTCATGGAGGTAGAAAGCCCCGTCTGTCTCGAGAGGAGCCTGGTGCTTTCTAACTGCTGTAATCTAAAAATTAAAGTGTTTGGGTGTAGCGTTATTATTCTAAGGTCTAAGAAGTAAAATAAGTTAAATGAGAGAATTACTAAGCTGAGATAAAATAATGTACCAGGATAAAAATCTACTGAGATAAGTAAGACCCATGAAGCTGGGACACTGCGTGTGGGAAATGTATGGGCCGATAAGAAAAGAAGAAGAACAAGCATTCTAAACACCTTTGAGGGGGAGTCTAGATCTCTGAGGACCTCACAGCAGAAACGATAAACATTAAGGTAAGTAGAAAGAATCAGAGAACTGTGTGACTTGCCTGAAAGCATCAGCTAGTATCAGGACTGAGGCTAGAACTGATTTGGCTGTATTTAATAATAATAACTATAATAACAATAAGAAGAATAAGACTACAGATAGAAGAGTCAGGCAAGCAGCATGAAAAAGATGGGAGATACAACATCTTCACCAGGACAGACACACAGGATTGGTGGGTGTCAGTGTTGTTAGGTGCCATTAAGTCAGTTCTGACTCATCGGGACCCCGCTTGCCCGGTGCTGTGCCAGCCTCACAACTGTTCTTATTGTTGAGCGCATTGCGGCAGCCCCGGAATCAGTCCATCTTGTCGCAGGCATTCCCTTTTTGCTGACTTCCTACTTCACCAAACGTGATGTCCTTCTCCGGGGACTGGCCTCTCCTTGGGAACAACTCCTAAGTACGTGAGCGGAAGGCTCAGGATCCTGGTCTCTAGGGAGCACTCTGGCTGTACTTCTTCAAGGCAGATTTGTTTGTTCTTCCGGCAGTCCCTCGTACTTCCAATATTCTTCTCCAGCACCAGAATTCAAACACATCCATCCTCCTTTGGGCTTCCTTAGGCAATGGGCCACGTCCCGTGTTAGCATGCATGCTGCATCCAGTTCATCTAGAGCCCTTCCAAACACCAGTCTGCACATAGCAAAGACGTGGCTCTAATGTGCGGATCTAATTGTTTTCGTTTAGATTCAAACCAAACCTACACTGTGGAAAACACCGAACTGGTTATGATAGATGCTTCCATTTTTAATTCCAATGCAGAAAATGTGTCAAGGACATATTTCTGTAACTGCTTACATTTTCAAGGTCGCCTCCCCATCCCCACATGCTGATTTTACCAATGTTTGTATATACGTAAGTCACAGATAGTAACAGCTTTTAATTAGTAAAGTTAATGCAAACTTTACATTCTCAAGATCTCAATGTTTTATAGCACTTAAAATCTAGTCTCCTAATCAGTTACAAAGATTTTTTTTAAGCTTCTACCTACTAGCACTTTTCTTACGAGTTCAGTCATTTCCATTTCTCCAGGCACATCTGGGTGGGCCCACAGGAGGGACCCAAAGAAATGAAAAGAAAGCATCGTCTTCCCTCCCACACAGATCGTGAGAGGTTGACATCATAGCGACATGGCCTCAGCTACAGAAGGAAAAATAACTCGAGTGAGGACCTGAAGCCTTTATCCAATAAAGACAGGGAAACGTTCAGCATTGGCGCTCACACCTACTGGGTTGGGGAACTAGACACCAACAACCAAACCCATCACCACTGTTCTGAAAAGAGCTTCTATTAGAGCAGTCAAGTAAGAGGAACGTCAATCATTGTACTTCCACTGATGCTTGTATTTTGCAGAACAGATTACACACAGGAACCTCGGAAGACAGGCCCACCACCATATTTCCAGGCCCGAAGCTCATGCAGCCTCAAGCTGCCCTAGGGGGCTGCCACGAAGTCCAACTTCCATGTCAGTCTCCTGAGTCCCACCAACCCTTCTCTGGGCAATCCTACGGGGGCCATCTTCAACAATGTCCAGATCTCCAAGACAGCTGGGACAATCTCAGAGAGACAACGGACTGCGGCTTCCACACAACTTCCTGGAACCAGTAATCTGGCTGCCGTTCAGCAAGGCCTGACCATGGTTAGTCAAAAGGGTGAGTTCATCCGAGCAAAGGCAGGACCACAGTGACCAGCCAGTAACCAACATCTGAGAAATTACAGAAATACGTGACTTCGGGCCCGTTTGAAGCAATCAGAGCCCAAGGTGATGATCAGGGAGGCAGGTTGGGAGTCTTTCCGATCTGCTGCCTCAGTGTTCTTTTATCATTTGCCCTTTCTTGCATTTTCCTCTTTATCAGGTTCCATTTCTATCCACCTTGTTTCTTTCTCTGCTTTATTTACTTTTACTTTACCTAAGGCTTATTTTTGGGAAAAAAAATTAACTAAAAATGAACCTCTTTCCTGCCTGATTATTTCCAGTGCTCTTGTTCCTTGCTGAAATGGCTAAGACCTTACAGGCTAGTGTCGTGGTTCTGAAGCCATCATAGATATGTTTCCCTTTGCATGCTGTTAATAAGATTTTCATCATCTTTTCAGGAGGCCCTGACTGCACCATCTGTTAGCTGAGACACAGCTAATTTATTCATGCAGCAAATTAAAACTGTTCATCATTGATTAGAACCGGAAGACATCTCAAGATCATCAAATCAAATACCATCATGCTACAGTTGGGAAAACAGTGGTCCAGAGAATTCAAACGATTTGGGCCAAATACGAATCTAATATTCAATGGAGTCTGAGGCCCAATAGAGAGTCAGGGAAAACCACAATCATGTGGAAAAGTGTGCACACACTAAGATTTCTTGAGAAAAGAGTTTGGGCCATTGGATTTTAGAGATCTGAATAAAACAGAACATTTATAAAAACTTGAAAAATTAACATTGGTATAACACATTGATTAATCATAACTACTGTTTAAAATAGGAATTTAAGCCTGTACATTTTATTCTGTGTACCTTTGATTTTCGCAGAGAGAATACTTATTATACTGTAGCTATTAGTTCTATTTTGTAATGGAGTAAATAAAAGCAAGTATAAAATGTTTTGTTACCTGTTGCTGCATTAATCACTTCATAAGTTATTTCAAAGCCTTCATAAGCCAGGTCAGCATCGGCGACAAAGACCAGCCTTAATGAGTTGGCACTGCTGGTGAGGGATGGTGGGATCGATCTTCCGCAATATCTGTTCCAAACCAGAAAAGATGCACAAGTCAAAATGATGTGCTGAAAATATTACGAGACCTGAGCCCACCGCCGAGTCAGCTGCAACTCACTATAAGCACTGGTTCTCCACCTTCCTCATGCTGCAACCCTTTGACAGTCCCTCGTGTGGTGGTGAGCCAACTAAAACAGTATTCTCGTCCCTACTTCATCACTGTCATTTTGCTACTCTGATGACTTGGGCGACCCGTGAAAGGGTCGTTTGACTCCCAAAGGGGGTCGCGACACACAGGTTGGGAACCTCTGCTATACAGGGTTTTCAAGATTGTAAATCTTTATGGAAGCAGAGAGCCTCATCTCTCTCCTGACCCACAGCGGACCCTCCAGGACAGGAGAGAACTTCCCCCGTGTGCTTCTGCACCTGTGACCCTTTACGGATGTAGACAGGCCTTCTCTTTCTCCCACTGAGTGGCTGGTGGTTTCATACTGCTGACCTTGCAGTTATCAGCCAGTGTGTAACCTCTAGGTCAGCAAGGCTTCTGCAAAGATATACCTGCTTTGGGTGACCCTGCTGGTATTTGAAATAGCAGTGGTATCTCTTCCACTATCACAGCAATACACCCAGCATCGCAAAATGATACGAGTACTCGTGTTGGCTTCGGCAGCACATATACAAAACGATACGAGCACTACCAACTGATAGATGAGTGACAGTCAAAATATATGCCCTACCATGAAAAGCAGTAGTCAGGGGCCAACTGATAGCACCGGCTCTTTAGAGTAAACCCCAAACCTACTGCGTCCCAGTCAATTACAAATCATGTGGCTCTAAGGTACAGAGTAGCATAGGTTTTCTGAGACAATACATCTCTGTGGCAGCAGACAGCCACCTTGCTGTGCCATGCAGGGGCAGGAGGGTTTGAACCAGCAACTCTCCAGTTGGCATCCCAACACTGTGCCCCCAGGTCTCTTTACACATTTACATCAGAAGAGGGACAAGCATCAAAGCTGTGACCTCCGCTTTCATTACACACACAAAAAGAATAAAGACTGAATTAAACCAAAGAACTACTAGAAATCAACAAAATAGAAAGGTAACATAATATAGAAAATCAATCACACAAAAAAGGTATCTCTTTTAGAATATAATTTTAAAGATGGTAAATGTGTAGTCAGCAAGATCAGGAGGAAGACAGGAAAAAAATTATAACGCACCGGAGCAAAGTTTTGGGGGTGAACATGTATGGGAGAGTGATTTAGGTGTTCGTTTTATGGCTATGGAAACAGAGCCATAAAAGTCTAGATGAAAACTTAACAAATTACTGGAGGCCCCAAAGAAGAGGGAGTAATACAATTCTATCTTCCCCTGCAACAGCAATGATCATGGACTCAAACAGCGTGACTGTAAGACAGATGATTGTGAACTTGATTGTGGCGGCTCGAACCACGCTGCACTACCATCCTTGGTCCACTGACCTCCCTCTCGACTCAACCTGAATTGGATCTAGGCTCACATATTTCTTGCTTGTTCCATGACAGAAATTTTTTCTCTGGCTTTTAAATATTGTTGGTGGTCTTTTCTTTCTGTTTATATTCATTGCTGTCTTTCCATGGTTGTTATTATTTTCTTCTCTCCAGTTTGGTTTGTTTGGGGTTTTTATTGTTTGTTAGGTTTCCCAGTTTTTGAAGCACAGGAGTAGATGCTTAATGACAATAACTGAGGAAATGATTTATCAAGAACGGTGGGGGGAAGGGGCAGGAGATTGGGGAGCAAACAATGAATGCAGGAAATGGGAGGGTGCATTACAATTGATTGTGATGACATATGCAAATTATTTTTACAAGCAATTTAACTATGGAAGTGCATCATAGGTGAATATTAAATCAAGGAAACTACTAAAAAGAAACCAAACTTGACCAATGGTCTCCATGGGTGAAGGAGGAGGAGTATTTGCCTGGGGGCAGTGAGTTTATGTTAATAATGATGGACTAATTTGGAAAGGGGTATCAGTAATGGACGTACAACATGAAGAGTATAATCAATGGCACTGAATTATACATGAAGTTGTTGAATTGGGAAGAAAAAAAACTATCACTGAAAAAGCATGATGACCCCATACCATTTTTATAATACAGCGTGGTTAGATTTTAACGTCTTTCATGAAAAGAAGAAAGCAGGAAGGTGTTTGTGTTTTGAAAACAAAACAAAAAAGGCCAACAACAAGAACCTCACCTCCCCAGAGAGGTCCCAGTGCCAGTGTCAACAACTTCCAGATAATCATTTGTGCAATTGTAATGAAACTCCAGATGAAAGGTTCTGAATACCAAACGAATCAGTTGTCCAGGTTGGGCTACTATATGCCAGGTACAATTGATACCATGAGGGTAGACGTTTGGGTGGCCAGGACTTTGAATGGTGCCCGTTGGCTCTATAAGAACTTCTCCACAAGCTGTTGAAGAACATGATAATAGTCGTTACAACAAATTACTAAGAAGCCCCCTGGATTTCAGGGGGAAAAAATCATCTGCTTATTGCCGCTTAAACAATCAAGAAAGTTTCTGTTCCTTCCTCGCTACTAAAGTTAGCCTGCCTCTCCTTTCACTAACTCCAAGACTCCAATGAACTATTGCTATAGATATTGACTGACGTGTCCCCAGCAGTGTCTGATTCATGGTGACCATTCAGACAGCAGAACCGCATGTCATCCTCACCATCATCACCAGTATGCTCAAGCACATTGCTGCAGCCCTGGTGCCAGTCCATCTCCCCAAAGGTCACCCCCATTGGCCTTCTACTTGACCATACTGGATGTTTTCCTCTTGTGATTGATCTTGCCTTTTGACTTGCCCAAGTCAAGTGGCAGGGACTATGTCTGCTCTTCACTTTTAAGGGGTTCATTGGCTAATATTTGATAGTCAATTGCAAAACCTTTCTTCCTGGTATAGCTGCTGAAATCTGTCCACCGTGGGTGACCCTTCCGGTGTTTGAGATGCCGATGGCATAGCTTCCACTTCATGATGACACATGGCACCACCAGACAACTAACCAACCGGCAGATGCTAGATGATTGTTGGTTAGGAAATAAATACATAGTCTAAGGCTTCTGAATGCCCTCTGTAAGTTTTTTGGAGTGATGATTTTGGGTAATAATTTACTTTCAACATGAAGTTACTCTGACAGGAGCCCCACAGGGAAGCCTGGAGGAAGAAAGCTCCTTACCGAAGTCTGCAGAACTGAACGTAGCCATGAAGCCATGATTCTGAGAAGAGGAGCTTTTCACGAATGTGATGTATAGAAAATTATACACAGATGTGATAAGGGAAGGTGTATCTGAGCCACAATATTTCTTATTTTCAGGAGAACCCAAAATGGAGCTGCTACCAACCTTTAAAAAGAAAAAAGATACACACGAGTTTATTTGGTAAATATTGAATTTTGAAAATGGTATCAAGTATCAATATTTTTATAATATTTTTAATAAGTAGTCAAAACAAATTAGAAAATACCAGACATTCTTCAAACCTGGAAGACACAAAACTTCATAGTATAATTTAGTCATAAAAAAGGCATAATTATTAAGAACTCATCATATTGGAGGCTTGATAATTTTAAGATATATAACATTATATCATTAAATTGTATTAAACATACAATAAAAATATAAATAAAGTACACAGTCAGTCTCTATTTTGGAATTTTTGAGAAAGGGGTATGTGAACATTTGTATTCATGCTTACTAGTCCTATTATTATTATACATTTAAAAACTTTAATAACTTCATTTTGCAATAACTCCGATTTCATCCAACTCCTCCTTCTAAAGGATACACTCCAATGTTGTTTAGGACATTTATTGGCTTGAGTAATCGTTGTGATCATCAATTTTTAAATGTTTTCATTATCACAAAAAGAAAGCCCTTGTCTCTACAGCTTTGTCTATTCTGGGCATCTTTCATAAATAATAAGGTGGTCTTTTGTGACTATCTTTCTCTTTGAGGTCCTTCTATGCCGCAGTATCTGTCAATACTTCACTCATTTTTAGGGCCAAACAGTATTGCATTGTACACAATGTTTGTGTGGGCTAAAGGTGGGATGAGGGTGGGGGTGCTTTGTTTCTGTTTGATTCCCCCCACCACCCACTCAGCACTGATGGATATTTCATTTGGTTCTACGTTTTGGCTAGGTTGAATGAGCACATGTTCTCATTTCTCCTGAGAGTTGCTGGGACAGATAGCAAGTCCGTGTCTACCTGTCTGAGGACCTGCCCGACTTTTCCAAAGCTGCACTGGATTGCATCCCCATCAGCATTAGTTGACGATTCTGTTTCTCCACATCTCTGCCAGCATTGGTTATTATCTGGCTTTTGGTTATACCCATCTTACTGGGTATGATATGATCTCTCACTTTAATTTTACCTACATTACTATAACTAATCATGGTGAGCATGTTTTTAAGTGCTTGTTAACCATTGATATACATGATTTCAAGAAATGTCTATTTATATACCCCTTAATTCCTTTTTTTTATATACCCCTTAATTCTAATCAGCTAAAATTTCATGCTATTTTTTATAATAATTTTTTAAATATATGGGGTACATGGAGAGCTAATTGAGTATATGAATGAAGAACACCCTCTAAAACTGATTGTCATATTAAATGCACAACTCTTTTTCATATGTGTAAGCTATTGAATTGTATGGTATGTGAATTTTATGTCAATAAAACTATGAAAAATTGTTTTTGAAAGTCTCTATATATTCTGGAAAGAAATTCCTTCTATGATTTGAAAAATAACTAAACTCCCATTCTGTGGGTTGTCTTTTCTCTTCTTCATAGAATATCCTTTGCTGTGAAATTCCATTTTGGCCTTTTGTTTTGTACTTGAACATTTGGGGCTTTGTAGTTTGATTTGTGGTTTTCTAATATCTGATGATGATGATTCTGATGAAGGAGTCTCAAAGAGCAAATCAAATGGTAAGTGCACTAACCAAAAGGTGGCAGGTTCAAGTCCACTCACAGGCACCAAGGAAGACAGGCCTGGCTACTTATTTCTGAAAGCTCAAAGCCACTGGAAAACCCTGCCGTGCGCAGCTCTGCTCTACCAGACATGAAATCACTCAATAGGACCTGGCTTTCTGTCTCCTTCTTACAATAGCTTCATTGATGTGGAATGCACATATCTTTCAAGTCAATCAATCGTTCAATCATATTAAAAGGAGTGGTGCAATCTCACCACAATCAATTTAAGAACATTTTCTTCTTTCTGTTACTCCTTGTTCTTAGCTCTCTAGTTCCCCCCAACCTCCTCTGCCACACTCCTAAAAAACTATTAATCCAGCTACTGTCTATAGATTTACTGATCCTAAACGTCACATGTAGAAAAACATCCAAAAAACCCAACACCAACAAAATAAAACCAAGGAAAACCTCAATTGAAAAGAAAGTATTAAAAACCGTAACAAATTTAAAGTGGGTCAAAAAAGAGATCAAATCATTAGGTGTTACATTTTAATCTAATTGTGTCTGCAAATAAAAAATAGTAATGTTGGACTTCTTTTTTGTAGGTTTATTGGAAATCGGTATAAATTCTTCATGGAACTCAAATACGTTGCTCTTTAAAATTGGGTTATTAAACTATTTATTATTGATCTATAAAAGTATTGTGTGCATTGCAAATTAAAGTTCCTTATCAAATATATGACTTGTAGATATTTCCCTCATTACGTGAACTTTCTTTTCACTTTCATAAAGGTATCATTTGCAGAACAAAAGTTTTAAGACTTTTAGAAAAGTCCAGTGTTTGTCTTTCTTTTGTCTTTCTGTGGTTCATATCAATTCTAAAAAGGTATTGCTTAATCCAATGAGGTAGTTAGTTTCTTGTGCCAGCGTGGCCGATAAACACATGTGGAATTAATTGAAGAGCAGAGAGATAAATGGCTCGGTGAGCCTCGCCTTTCTTGTCTCTTGTTCTTTGATCATTGGACCCGTGTGCGGCTGCCTTGCTTGTTCTGTGCCTCAATCTGCAAGCGACACTACCTGTGGGACACCTAACCCATGGACTGTGTAGCTGTAATTTGAGGTTCCTTCAAGACCTGCTTCGCACACAATTGGAATTGACATCTCTTGAGCTGGGGGCTGACTGACCGTTGGTGACCTGCCTTCCTGTTTGGTGCCTGAGCCAGGATAGCCTGAATCTCTCTACAGAGGACTACCCGGCAGCCCTCAAGACTTGAAGGACTGCCAGTGTCTCACAACTGTCTAATACATTTGAATTGTACTGAGCCATTTGTACTGCTTTATAATTTAACTGTTTATTTCTTGTGTTATAGATCTATATAAATATATAGATATATAATTATTAGTAATCTGGTTGTATCTCTTTAGAAAATGCTGTCTAACACATTTAGTATCATAAAGATTTACCCCTATCTTTTCTTCTAAGAGAAATTGTTTATAAGAATCCAACGTGGTGCTTTGGCATGTTGATATTCATTGTTCTGACACCATTTGTCCTCAATGAAATGACTGCACATCCTTAAAATAATGGTTTATTTCTGGACTCTAATTCTGTCCCACTGAGCTGTACTTATATCCTCATGCCAATAACACACTCTAATAATATCTCCTGCAGTTTCCTTCAGTGATGCTTTAAAGGGTGCAAAGGACAAGTTTTGCACTTGTGTTAGGAAATGTATTCCTTAGTATTCTATTCTGTTTGAGGCTATTGTAAGTGGAATTGTCTCCTTAATTTCATTGTTTAATTATTAACTGTAGTGTTGATCTTTTATCCTGCACCTTTGCTGAAGCCATTTTCTAGTCCCCATGGGTCTTTTTCTCCTGTGTGTTAATTCCTGTGATTTTCTACATATAATATTGTGCTATCTGTGAGCAGGGATCATTTTACATTTTTCTCCAATCTGGATTTTATTTTTCTTTCCTTTGCCTCTAACTTCCAGTATAATGTTATCTAGAAATTGTGAGAATGGACATCCTTCTCTTATTAATGATTTCAGAGGGAAGCATTCGGTTTTCATCCTTAGATACAATGTTTGTTACCTGTGGCTTTTTGTAAATGTCCATCATTAAGTTAAGGGAGTTCTCCTTTACTCTCAATTGTTGAGTATTTTTATCTTGGAAATGTGTTGGATTTTATTCAATGCTTTTATAAGTATATTGAGGCAAACATGAAAAGGTTTTTTTTTACTGCATTCTATTAATAACATGTATTACATTGATTTATATTGGCAGACTAAACCAGCCACACACTCCTGGAAGAAAGTTGGAAGTTGTGTATAATTTGCCTCACTTGTATTTTGTTGAGAACTTTCATCTATATTCAGAGATGTTGCTACATACAAATCATGGAACTAACCAACCAGAAGACAACCTGACATATTTGTCACACTTTAAATCCAAATACAATGATTCAAAGATGTCATCTCTCACCTCCATATAATCCGTATCACAATGGGCAGCAGAAGGTCCAATGTCAAAAGCAGTGACATTGAGAACCACACGGCGTTGGGGTTGGTGGATGGCCCACCTACAGACCCTGTCTCCGGGATACACGTTAGGATGCAAAGGAGAGCGGATGACTCCTTCTCCAGTCAATGCACCTCCACAAGCTGGAAATATGAACACAGCATCAATGTTTATCCAAAGATGAAGTATTCTTGTTCTCACTGTACTGAAAATTCTAATTTTGCCTAAGGAGTTCAATGATCACAGATGTAGACATAATTATCAATTGCCACAATGTCACAGGTCTGATGACATTTCCATGAGAATCTTTTTTTCTTGCCATATGAGAACATAAAATGACAGTATGATTTCAAGAAATTAAAACGGAGGGGAGCGGGGAGGGAGGGGAAAAATGAGGACCTAATATCGGGGGTTTAAGTGGAGAGAAAATGTTTTGAGAATGATGTACAAATGCGCTTTACACAATCGATGTGGGTATGGATTGCGTTAACAGTTGTATGAGCCCCTAATAAAATGTTTAAAAAAAAAAAGAAATTAAAATGTTACAATCAGGCAAATTGGACCTTTGAAAAGGGAGGGATAGGGTTCCTTACCTACTTGATAAACCGCTCTGAAACCAGCTTTTGCAATGGAAGCATCTATTTTAAACCTAATCCAGATTCTATTAGTGATGGAGTTCATGTGAGATATGGTTGAATCACCACAGAATTTTCCAAGTATAATGTCTTCATCTAGAACCTAAAGATGAAAATGAAATAGAACTATAATCGGAGTCAATAAAATTACCTTGAAAGTGGTGATATTATTTAGACAGGGGGAAAAGACATCCAAAATGAGTGATGGTCTAATTTGGAGTTATCGTCATAAATTATTGGTAATACTAAATATTGATAAAATCATACTTATAAGTAATACCCCAAATCACAAAGTTTAAAAATGTTTTCTAATAATTTCCACAGTGCCACAGAGAAAATAAGTTCACAGCTTTGGACTATCGGGAGCGGAAAAGGAGGGTATTACATACACGTTCCCATGAAATATGTAATCTCAAGAATTCATTTTCTAAATTGATGTCATTATTGCAAGAAAGATAGAATAGGATAGGGAGGATGGGAGAAGAAAAAACGAAGAAATGTATGAATTAAAAGAAGTTATATAACCAATTTTAAAAGTGAGAAATTAAATGAAGTAAAATTTACAGCAAAACATAGTATATAAATATTTTTTAAAGTAGAATTCATAAATAGGATGAGAAACCGTTTTGAGGAAGTTTGAAGAATAGGCATGTAAAATATATATTTCTGGCAAGTTTAATAAGGAATAAAGAAAATAATTACAAATACTTAAAAATGACAAAAGTGGTACAAATACAGAGTTGAGAAATGTTCTAACATAATAATTTTATATAATAAACTTTATGCTAACATTTGAAGTTGGTTATTCCCAGAATAATACAGATTACTATCATATTTTCAAGAAGGAAAAAAGAAAATCTGACAAGATCATACACCAAAGAGAGGGTTGAAACATCAACAAGTAATTATTGTCTGCCCCTGGGGTGGGAGTGGGGGGACCTACCTAAGAAACAGATAATTTTGTGCTACATAATTGGTTAAAAGGCATCCTCAGTTACAGAACACTTCCCAACACCTTTTTGGTTTCAGACTCTTGACACCAAATCCCAACAGACACCAAAAAGAAATAAAAAACAAACTCACTGCCATTGAGAAAAAACTGACTCACAGTGACCCTACAGGACAGGGTCGAACTTCCCATGTGAGTTTTCAAGACTGTAATTGTTTATGGGAGTAGAAAACCTCATCTGTTGGTGGTTTTGAACTGTCGATATTTGGGTCGCAGTCCAAAGCGTAACCACTATGCCAACAGGGCTCTTCCAAATACCAACTTACATCACATAAATTAAAACTTAGGACTGATCTCATCTATTAATAAAGGCACATAAATCTAAAAACCACAATTCTAAAAAAACCCCAACAATTCTAGAAATATAAATTCACAGTGTGTTGCTAAGTTTAAATAGCAAATCAAATATTGGAATAGAAATGCAACGATTATTTGCAATTATAAAGTCCATCAATAAATCAAATAAGGAAAACCAAATGATCCCAAAATATTGTAGCATTTCTGAATCGATTTTTTAAAAAACTGAAAAGTTAGGGGCTGAAAAAAATTTGTACCTATAATAAAAATTGCTTGTTATAAATTATAGATGATATCTTTATGGTATAGGAGCCAAGAGCATAATGTATGGAGACATATAGACATAGCTTGAAATCCTATCTTTCATGTACAATCTTGCGCACTTACTAGCCTCAAACTAGTCATTAAACAGACTTAGCTCATGAAGCTGTTGAAACAATGAAACAATCAAGAATTCTTTAGTGAAATGTCTGCTAATAGAGTATTGGCTAAAGACTATCTTTTGTTATGCTGAACGAAATGCAAAAATCGTCACATGCTAGAAAAAACTCTACTGAAGCTAACTGCAGGACAGCTGAAGCCAGACATCCACAGGGAATTGACAGAAGTTCAAGGTGGATTCAGAAGAAGCCATGAAGCACTGCTATCAGGTGGATCTTAGCCCAAAGCAGAAAAAGCCAAAAAGTTGGCGGCCTGTTTTATTGACGGCGGGAAGCCACCACAGTACAATCAAGTGACAGGCAAGTGGTGAAATGTCTACTACTTCTGTTACATAAAATTATTCTGGAAGATCCAGTTCACGTACTCAACTTGCGTTACGAAGGTCTCAATAAATGTCCGAAACTGTGCTGAACGCTAGTAATAGCAGTATTATCAGTCACTACTAACAAGGAGCTTTAACAAAGTATTTGTTTATTTTAGCATGATGAGCTCCATCATTAGGAACATGCAGGATGCTACATTATTCCTAGACACAAGTAAGGATATGGAAGTTTATGAGGGTATTTTTAAAATTATCATATTAAAAGGATAGTGGGACACCGCTGGTACTAAATAAGTAGCTAGTGGATAAGAACACTAGACAGCCAAAATATAAGGGACAGTTACATGCAACCAAAATTCTTCAAAATCCTCCCAAACAAGACATAACTAGGTAAAAAATACTGTTAATAAACCTGAAATCTGTAGCATAAAATCTAATTCAATTTTACATATTAATCACAAAATATCTCTGCACAATTTTCAAACACACTTTCCCCCGGGATTGCAAGAAGAGTATAAATTAAAGAAAGTCTTCCCACTCATGCCCTGGAAAGCAGTCCAGTATGGTCCATCATTTCTTTCTGAAATTGATTTAACAGCCTAATAGCCGCACCAGCCTGCATCTGTCCTGCAGCATGCGAAAAGCTTTAGGTCTCAGTGCAAGCAACGGGCTACTTTTGCCTTCAAGTGTAGCTTACTCGGGCTTTTACCATACTGAAACGCTATTTTATTGGTTCTTTACTTTTATTTCTCTTCATTTTATCTTAGGTTGTGTTCAAATCATGCATTCAGTTTGGTAACATCTGTGAATTTCCTTTCAGAACTGTGAAAGAGGGTGTAAAACGATCTTAAAACGTAGAGAACACCTGGCTGACATCTCATCCAGTGGGTCAGGGATGCGTCCCTGTAGAACTGAGGGTGGCAGAAGTGGGAATGATGCAGGAAAAAGAACAAGGGAAATATTCCAGGCTAAAGACCAGGGTGTTGGGATGGGCCAGTTAAGGGGGATGGGAAGGGAGAAGCGGTAACCCCATATAGAAAGGGGAGAGATGCGAGGCAGGAAAGAGAGATTAAAAAAATAGAAGTCAAATTAGGAAAATCCCCCTTGATCCTACAGCGATTGAAGAATGTTAAGCACAGAAGTGACAGAATTTGTGTTTTCATACAGTAATACAATAAGAAAGAGAAAATAAATGTATAGCCCTTAGAAAGGAAAATCACAATCATTTTATTTTCAGAAAATATAAATAATATGTTGAGAAAATACGTAATAACCTATTGAAAACCTCAGGGTCAGTAAGAAAGATTAGTGAAATTTTAATAGCTGTTCTATTTATCAGCCATAACTTCTTAGAAGCTAGGAAGACAATTATTTAATTAATAGAAATAGTGACATAAAATACCTAGAAAGCACTTTTGTAAAAATATCATTTCAGCAATTAAAAGACAACTTCAAAATTTTTATGAGAGCTGAAAGCACTTATAATGAAATGGAGATATTATAGCATTCTTATGGAAATTACATATTCTGTTAAAATAATTAAAATATTCTGTTAAATTTTAAAATGTTAAAATTTAATATTAATGCAAATTTCATGTGATGCTAAAGTATTTTAAAGGGGAAACAAAACATATGGAAAATTGTAAGAATGATCTTGCCCTGCCCTACCAAATATTATCATTACTTACAAAGCTAAAATTATTAAAACCATTTATTTGGGGGAAAAATTGTTGAAAATAGTAGTTAAATACAATGGATAGCCTTGAAATAAACTCTAGCATATAAGAGTATATATTTAAAAATGGAGTACCATAAATTATTGGAAATTAGAGGAACTATTTTTAAAAGTGTTCTGGAAAAATACAAAATTTAAATTCAACACTAACCACCTAAGGAAAGTTTATTTTTAAGACCATTCATTAGGAGCTAATCCAATTAATCATACTATTCAATAGTTCAATCACATCAAACAGTATTGCACAATTGTTACCAAAATCAGTTTCAAAATGTTTTCTTCCTTCTTGAATTCCTTCACCTCATCTTCCCCTTCCCCTCCCTTGCCCACCGACCCCCCCACCTTTTCAGGACCATTTGTCTAGTTATTGTCTCTATAGATTGACCTGTCCTAGGTTTCATACACTGAAAACCATAGAAAATCACATAACAGAGGGTCAAGAGGGCTACCAACAATGACAGAATACAAGAGAGAAACTCCAATGTGAAAATAAAGCCACGGAAAATATTAAAAACCAGGTCAAGCCCAAAGTGTATCGGAGGGGAGATCAAGTCACACGGTTCTAACTGTTCAAATGGGATTTATCATTTTAATGTATTATGGTCATGTTTCCAATACTTTTGTAACCAGCTTATTCTCATCCTTCAAATACGGTTAGAGGGATACCATCAGAGGAGTATTCCCTGTGCAGATCTCACAAAGGCAGCTTTGGCTTCCGCTCTCATCCACAGCCTTCTGCAAACTCGAATCTCACAATTTAAACCCCGGATGTGGATTATAGAATTTACACTCCTTGGGTCATCGATGTTGCTGTGCTTCTTCCATGTGGACTTAGTTGACATCTTCTTTAGATGGCTCCTTATTTGGAAATAAGCCAGACTCTATTCTCTCTCTGATAGTCAGGCACCATCTAATTTCTTCACCACACTTTGCTGTAGCACCCCAATCTTCTGTGTTTCCATGTTTAGGGCAAGTATCAAGCAGGGCCATGTAGTAAGAACTAATTGTTCCTAGATTGGAGCTAGGATTAAGCGTGAGCTCCAAATCCATTCCTGAATCGGTTTTTTTGTTGTTGTTTTTATTTTATTGGGGGCTCTTATCACAATCCATACATATATCCATTTTGTCAAACATATCTGTACATATGTTGTCATCTTTTTCAAAACATTTTCTTTCTATTTGAGCCCCTGGCATGAGCATCTCATTTTCCCCCTCCCTCTCCCATGCCCCCTTGATATGTCATAAATTATTCTTCCCCGCCCTGGCCTCTATCTTACACCTACTGCTGTCTCATTTCAC